GCTGGAGGTTGGGGCTTGAGGATCGACGGCTGGGTGTTCGGTGAATTGGGCTGATGTGGGGGGAGTGAGCTGGGCTGGTGTTGAGCTGGTGGGGCTGTTGTTAAGGCTGAGGGGGTGTTGAGGGCTTTGAGGGCTGACATTTGGGGTGGAGGTTGGGGACTGGAAGCTAACAGCTAGTGGTTGCGGGCTCCGAGTGGGGCTTGGAGATTGGGGCTGAGTGTGTTTGTTATATTGGGCTTCCCGCGCGTGTTCAATAGCATCTGGCAGACTACGCATACTTGGCGATAAACAATAAGAAGGAGAGAAGGCTTAAAAAGGTTGGGCGGGAGTAGAATGAAAGAAAGGGAGAGTAAGTGGAAAAAAAATATATATGTGAAGAAAAGAAAGAGTGTAGTAGCGAAGGAGAATGGAAGGAGATGGAGAATGGGTGGGGAAAGAGAGGAAGAGAGAGAAGAGAGAATATTATAATATCAATCATCTATTTATGTATTCGTTAAGTTTATCCGATGTCTATCCCCGTCTCCTCTGCCTCTTTCCGCGAATTCTACAGGTCTACGACAGAGGAGGGGAGAAGGAGAGGGAGAGGAGAGGGGGAAGGGAAGAGGGGGGAGAGGAAGGGGGAGGAGTAGGAAGGGAGAGAAAGATAGGAAATGACACAGGGGAGAGGGAGGGAGGGAGGGGGAGGGAGGAGAGGAGGAGAGAGAGAGAGAGAGAGAGAGAAGAGAGAGAGAGAGGGAGAGAGAGAGGGAGATGAGAAGAGAGAGAGAGGAGAGAGAGGAGAGGAGAGAGAGAAGAGAGAGAGAAGAGAGAGAGAAAGAGAGAGAGATGAGAGAGAGAGAGAGAGAGAGAGAGAGAGAGAGAGAGAGAGAGAGAGAGAGGAGAGAGAGAGAGAGAGAGAGAGAGAGAGAGAGAGAGAGAGAGAGAGAAGAGCATCAAAACAAACACATAAATCATAAAAAAGAGAAATAAATAAATAACAGCATGAACACAACTCACCAGAAACGGGAGATAAGACGCGGACGAATTAGAGAAATGAGAAGAGAGAGAGGAAAAAAAGAGATGAACCGCCCAACATAAACTACCCCCCTACCTAACCCTCCCTACCCCCCCACCTACCTCCCTCCCCCCAACCAATCTACCCCCTCCTCCCTACCCTTCCTCCCCATCTAACCCTCCCACCCTCACCAACCCTCCACTCTCACCAACCTCCCACCCCTACTACCCTCCCTCCCCACAATCTACCCTACACCCCCTCAACCTACCCCCCTCTCTCTCTCTCACCCCCACTACCCTCCCCCCCTCTCTCTCACCCACATCTACCCTCCCTCCCCCACAACCTCCACCCCTCACCAACCCTCCCACCCCCTACCCTCCCTCTCACCCACTCCACCTCCCTCCCTCCCCCACCAGTACCCTCCCCCCTCCACCTACCCCCCTTCTCTCTCTCGACCCCACCCTACCCCCCCCCTCTCGTCTCTCTCACCCACACCTACCCTCCCTCCTCCCACCCCTCTCACCCACCCCACTTACCCTCCCCCTCCTCTCACCACCACGTACCCTCCCTCCCTCCCCCGGCTCTCACCACCCCACCTACCCTCCCTCCCCCACCACAAAAAACGTGAAAGAAGACGGAGAATTCACGAAGCGGGAGTGAATTTACGAGAGAACTGAGGCGATTCCTAATGATCTCAGAGGCAAGAGGAGAGGGGAAGAGGGGAGAAGGGGGAGATGGGGGGATTTGGGGAAGGGGATAGGGAGGGAGAAGGGGAGAGGGGAGGGGAAAAGGGGAGGGGATGAGGGAGAGGGGAGGGCGAGAGGGGAGAGGGGAAAGGGGTTGGGGGAGGGGGAGAGAAAAAGGAAATGAGCTGGGGAATGGGGGGAGGGGGGGGGGAAGGGAGAGGGGAAAGGGGGAGGGAGAGAAAAGGGGAAAACGAAAGGGGGGAAGAGGGTGAAAGGGAAGAGAAGAAAAGGAAAATGAGGGGGAAGAGAGACGAGAGACGAGGAGAGAGAGAGAGAGAGAGAGAGAGAGAGAGAGAGAGAGAGAGAGAGAGAGAGAGAGAGAGAGAGAGAGAGAAGAGTGAACAATAGAGAAGAGAGAGAGAGCGAAACAAAGAGGAGAAAAGGAGAGAGAAGAGCGACAGAAAGAGAGACAGAGAAAGAGAGAGACGATAAAAGAAAGGAGAAAAGAGAAAGATGAGAAACACGAGAAGAACAGAGAGGCGTCAATCAGAAACGAAAGAGCAGACAGAAAGAGAAGAGCATGATCTGGCCACCGACCCCGTCTATGGTCCCCGTCCCTCTTCGCCTGATTGGCTCTCGTCCTCCTCTCTCCTCGCCATCATCATCTCCTCCTTTCCCATTCCTCCTCCATTCGTCAAAGTGATAATCAGTTCCTCTTGCGCCGTTGCCACTTCCCTGCTACGTCGCAACACACGAGGTAATTATATGTATCGTTATAAAAGGTGGTCGTTAATCGCGCGGCATCGACGACTCTAATTATCACGACACTACGATCATCAATCCTCACCTTTTATTGTTACTCGTCCTTTATTCTATCGCTATTTCTTCTATCGTCTTTATCGCTATTTCTTCCTATTACCCTTTTCGCTTTTTATTTCCGATCATCTTTATCGTTATTATTCCTATCATCTTATCGCTATTTCTTCCTATCATCTTTATTGCTATTTCTTCCTATCATCTTTATTGCTATTCTTTTCCTATCGCCTTTATCCGCTATTTCCTAAAATCATTACTTAACGCTATTTCTTTGTATCATTATTCTCGCTATGTTTTCCCTATTATAGTATCGGCAATTTTTCCTATACCATTATCTTCCATTTTCTCCTTATCAACCCTTATCGCTATTCTCTTTAAATTATTATCGGCGGCATTTCTTCCTATCATCCAATTATCAGCTATTTTCTTTTCTTTCCCATCAAACCTCACCTTTATCGCTATTTCTTCTCCCCCCTTTTCCTACATCTTTTCTTTTTATTCTATTTGTTCCCTACTTCCATAATTATCTAAAATATATTCTAAATTTTCCCTCTCTCTCTCTTCCTCCCCTTTCGCCTTGCCTCTTTTCTTCTTTCCCTCCCTTTCCCCCTTTCATTCCATTTCCTTCTATCTCCCTCCCTCCCCCTCCTCCTCCCCAACCACCCCCTTTTCCCTTCCTCCCCCTCCCTCTACATCCATCTTCCCTGCACCCCTCCCCCTCCCCTCCTTCCCCACCTATCCTCCATTCCTCCATCCCTTAACCCACCCTCCCTCCACCACCTCTTCTTCCCCACCCATCCTCCCTCCCCACCACCTCCCTCCTTCCCCACCCTTCCTCCCTTCCCCCCATCTCCCCCTCCTTCCCCACCCTTCCTCCCCCTTCTCCTCCCCTCCTCTCCCCCCCCCACCACGACCTCGCCCTAATGACCACCTCCCGGACGGACAGCCTCTCGTAAATATTCAGGACGACGCAAAAGCGACACCCGTTTGGCTCCGGTTGGGGGATGGCCGACGAGGGAGGGTGGGGAGGGGGGAGGATGGGTGGAGGAAGGGAGGGAAGGAGGGAGAAAGGGACAGATGAAGGAGGAGGAGGGTGAATGGATGATGGATGGAGAGGGAGGGAGTGGAGGGATAGATGGATGGAAGGAGGGAGGATTGAGGGATACATAGATGGAGAGGGAGGGAGGATTGAGGATCATAGATGGAGGGGGGAGGATTGGGGATACATAGATGAGGGGAGGAGGAGGAGGATGGAGGGATGGAGGAAGATGAGGGAAGGATAAATGGATAGATGGAGGGAGGAAATGTGGAAGGATGAAGGGAGGATCGAGGGAGGAGGATGAATGGATGATAGGGTGGTTGAAAACAGAAAGAAGTGCAGATGTGCAGCTATTAACAGGGGAAAAATTAAATATAAATATAAATACACCTATCTACCTATCTATAGAGATAGATCGAGATAATTAAAAGAAAAGTAAAGCAAAAGAGGAAAAAAACAACAGACAGAATACAAAGAGAGCGAGAGAGCACGACGAATCCAATCACCCCCCCCCCCCATCCCCGTGCCACAGACCAAACAAACGAAAGCCCTCCCTCCCTCACCCCTTCCCTCCCCCCTCCCTCCCTTTACACCCTCTCCTCACCCCCCCCCCCTCTGCGGCCGCCCATCGCACCTGATGATAACCTCTGCAGAGTTAATCATGAACACCTCCCCCCCCCCCCAACCCAGGTTTCGCCTCAAAAGAACACTTACATTTAAATTGGCATATTTTCTAATCTCTCCACTTCTCTCCACTTACCCTCCCCTCCCTCACTCTTTCTCTTCTCTCTTCCCTTTCTCTTCTCTCTCTCTCTCTCTCTCTCTCTCTCTCTCTCTCTCTCTCTCTCTCTCTCTCTCTCCCTCCTCTCCACTCTCTCTCTTCTCTCCCTTCCTTCCCCCAGCCCTTCTCCCCGTTTCCCCCTCCCCTCCATCATTCTACCCTCCACCTTCCATCCTTCCCTCCTCACTCCTTTCCTCTCATTCTACTCTCCCTACTCTCCCTCCTTCACACTCACCACGTCTTCTCTACCTTCCTCTCTCCTCTCTCCTTCCTGTTCTGCCCCTCCCTACTTTTCTCCCTTCCTTCCTTCGTCTCCCCTTCCTCCCTCATTTCCGTCACATTTTCTTACTTTCTCTTCTTTTCCTCCAATCCTTCCCCCCCCCCCCTCCCTTCCCTTCCTTCGCCTCTTCAGCACCTCTTCATTGTTCGCCCACGCAGTCATTAAGTCACCCTAAAAAAATCTACCTCCTTCCCTTCCCTCCCCCTCTTCCCTTTCCCTCTCCCTCCTCCTTCCCTCTCCCCTCTCCCTCCCTCCTTCCCCTCCCTTCCCTCCCCTCTTCCCCACCCCTACCCTCTCCCTCCTTCCTCCCTCCCTCTCCCCTACTCCCCTCTCCCTCTCTTCATTCCTCTCCCTCTCCCTCCCCCTTTACCCTCCCCTCTCCCTCTCTTCCTCCCCTTCTCCCT